TTCAACGTTGATTCAATGTTTCTGGCTGACATTGATTCAATGTTGTTTCAATCATTCTGTGCTATCTGGGATAGTTGTACATTAGCAACAGCTGATAGCCGTATTAGGAAACTATAAGTTTTATTTCAACTTGACCACACTTCAGTTGTCAGATGAAAAAGTCCAACATTCTTTCAATGCTAGAATAGATTACAAGTTTCTACACTGGGGCCTCTGTTTTACGCTACATATTTATTTGATGCTGCTTCTTATCCAGGACTCTTGAAAAAGAGGCTTTTTATCTCAATGCGATTTTGTCCTGCTTAAAGATTAAATAAATAAAAAAACATTGATAAGAGCAGTAACAGCTTTATGTGGACAAATGAAACAGGAAATGAAAAGTCCTGTTTCATTTGGAAATCAATGCATCTTTTTTTTATCATATCTTGCAAATTTTATTAGAATACTCCAGATATTACCTTGATCTTGTTGTAATATTTCCTAAAGTTTTAACTCAGCTACACATATATGTTGTCATTGACAAAAAATAAGTAATGAAAGAATATGCTTTAAATACTTTGTGATTGTTTGTTTTTGCACTGTGGTTCCTTCTTATGGGAATTACAACTGCTGAAATTTTCTCTTGTGTCTTTAAGGTGTGAAACAGTTGGAAATCATGTGTGGCTTTGGATGCATGTCTGTTTTAGCCAACTATTTTGTGTTTATGACTTTCTTCCCTGCCTGTGTCTCACTGGTCCTTGAGGTAAAACCCACTTTTTGAGCTCCCATAGATAACTGTACTACTGAAACCTTTTTTCATCATGTTGATTTTTTTAATATATACATTTGCTCCAGTTGTCACGTGAGAGTCAGGAAGGTCACCCGATCTGGCAGCTAAATGACTTCTCCAGAGTGATGGAGGAGGAGGACAACAAACCCAATCCTGTAACTCAGAGAGTCAAAATGATCATGGTAATGTTTTGTATGCGAAGAAAATCCTCTCTATGTATTTATTTTGTAAGGGTGTGTGCATCATTGCTGGTTCCTCTATGTGCAGTCTCTTGGACTGGTGATGGTTCATGCCCATAGCCGATGGATTTCCAAACCATTGTCCTCAAATACAACAGGGAGTAATGAACAACTTGGCATGGAGCTGGATCAGTTATCTCCTAGAAGAATTGAGCCAGAAATGCCACTGTGGCACTTCTACCTCAGCAGGTAGGGCTCATCTAAGCACTTTTCTTTAAATAATTTTTTGTTTTGCAGTGTGTGCAGAAAACATGACATACATTTGCTTTAACTCTCACCCATTACCAGGATCTCTTTTGTCCAAGGACTTGCAGGTGAACAATTCTTTGTTCACGCTGCAAGCACATGTGGCCCATATCAGATTTGGATGTGGTCAAGTGTCCAGGCCAGACTTTTTAGAATAAAAGTTAACACTCAGAACTGACCCGTATATGATTTTTCGGAGTTAGATTTGAGCCACTTCCATACGTAGTCCTGAATCCGACTTGTTTCCAGTCTTTTTGAATGTAATTCCATTTGGAATAACCAAAGCAGCTTTGATGTGACTTTGATACCACTTTCCATTGATGTTCCTGATAACTGTGCAGTGGTGGGAGGTGTTAGTATTCAGCAAGATGGACAACACAATCCAAAAATAACACGTTTCTCCACAGAGATAGGTCTCTGTAGATTTACTGCTGCACAATGTCTGGGTGCACCCTGGCTCCACTTCTTCTGCTTCTGGGTCAAAGATGTATTATTTCAAGTTTATCTCTGTAGCACATTTCAGCGAAAGTGCTTTACATCATGAAAGAACAAAAATACAGAGTCATAGAACACAGTCAAGAATTGAAACATTACATTTTGTCAAATGCCATCGTTACACATCAAATTGTTTAACAATTAATTGATTATGTTTCAAAAGCAACTCTAGACAGCTGGGTTTTTAGCCTTCATTTAAAGGAACTCAGTGTTTCGTCTGTTTTACAGTTTTCTGGAAGTTTGTTACACGTTTGTGGTGCATAGAAGCTGAATGCTGCTTCTCCTCGTTTGTTTCTGGGGATGCAGAGCAGAACCAGAACCAGAGGACCTCAACAACAGCAGATCTTCAATGTATTGTTGTACTAAGCAGTTCAGTGATTTATAAACTAACAGTATTTTAAAGTCTGTTCTCTGACCTACAGGGAGCCAGTGTAGGGACTCAGTTAGAAGGGTGTGGCCAGCAGCAGCTCACTGGCATAATTTTGTCGTAGCCCAGCGGATTCTTTAATGAGCTCAAAACAGGCAGAATTGATTGGGTGAAATCTCAATATTGGAGAATGATTTTGTGTATTAAATGTTATGAACATGTTTTGTTTAGCCCCACAGATCTATCTTAGCTTGTTCAATGAGTCATAATAGTGAACCTTTAAATATCTTGAATGTTTTGAGTTATTGTTGCAGAAAATCTCCAATTCACCAAATAATTAAGTTTGTTAAATAAATATGTTGACCATCGCTCAGTCTGTATCTTGAGAATTAAGTCATGACCAAAGCAAATAAAAAAAAAAATTAACAGCAAGAAGAATACCAGCCTGCAGTCAGTCATGAACCTGATTAACCTGTTTGTCTTGTTTACAGAATGATAACTATGGACATAGAGCAAGTGATCTGTCTGGCCTTGGCTCTGCTGCTGGCTGTCAAGTACATCTTCTTTGAGCAAGTGGAGATGGAATCTACACTGTCTCTTAGGAACCCCATCACCATGGCTGCTCCCAGCCCAAACCAGCAATACAACAAGACCTGCTGCATGAGGAAGTCTTCTGCACCCAGATCTGCAGCCCCTGCAGCCCCCTGCAGGGAGGAGAGAGGTGTGTCTGCCCTCACTGACGATTATGGAACAGATAAGCTTGTGTAGCACTGTGTCTTATTCCAACTTGTCTCCCTAGATGAAGTTATTCGGCCATTTCCGGCCCCCACCATTGACTGTCAGTCAAAGAGCTTGTTTGTCATTGGGGAAGAAGATGGGGAGATGAAGTATGACAACACTGAGCCCAGTCTGCTGCAGAATCCCAGAGGACTTGATGAATGTGTGTCTATCTTTAACAACCCTGAGGTAAAACAGAGAAGAAATCCTATAATGCCCCTTTAACAATTCACAAGTCATATGATTAAATTTTTTAGAATTTAAATTTGCTTTTTTTTTTTTTTTTTTTTGTACATATGAGGTTAGAATGTAGACCTTTGAGAATCTGGTGGAAACCACATTATTAGGCTCACGTCTGCATATTTAAAAGAGGGTGTACTTACTTTCCTATGATTCTTACCATTATATTTATATTTATAGCCTCACCTACATTTTAGCATCATAGACACAATCAGAACTATCTAATTGATAAGGCTATAACCAGTAAATACATAGTTGATTGGTCAGAATCAATTATAAAATAAGTGTTTTGAAATAGGACTCAGATTTTACAGTTTAAATAGGCCACCCATAGGCTTTTCATTGGAATGGCCTATGGGTGGAGCAACAGCTATTCAGACTCCAATAATAACCACCAGCTCCTATAACGTTGAAGTTTGGTTGTGTTTCTGCAGCAAGGGCCATATCATCTAAGTGATGCTGAGGTGATGCTGCTGGTTACCTCCAAACACATTCCAGCATACAAACTGGAGGCTTTGATGGAGAAACCAGAGAGAGGAGTGGCGATACGAAGACAGATGATCTCTGCCAAGCTTTCTTGTTCTTCTGCACTCTCCTCCCTTCCATACATCAACTACGACTACTCCAAGGTGACATTGAAAGCTATACAAGAAACCCTACAACCACATGAACCTGTGTCTTTAACAAAGATGCATTTTCTAGGTTATGGGTACCTGCTGTGAGAATGTGATTGGTTACATCCCAGTACCGGTTGGAGTTGCAGGACCGCTACATCTGGATGGAAAACAGTTCCAGGTTCCCATGGCAACTACAGAAGGTTGCTTAGTTGCAAGCACTAACCGAGGCTGTCGTGCAATTGCTGTAAGTGTTTGAATTGTTGTTACTGGCTTTTACAGGCACTAGCCCCATAACACATTTAGCTCCATGAAATTTCAATTCAAGAAGGTGAAGTTTTCCTGATGAAATATTACATGCACCAGGACTGGTGTCGGTGTAACAGACACTGATTTTTCCTGTAAACAGGATAGAACAGGTTGAAGTAACGAGGCAGAAACAACTGTACTTCTCAAGTCCTCCTGGAATCTGTTCTGTATATTAGACATTGTGTCAACATACTTATTTCTGTAATGAACAGTTTCTTTTAATCCTTCCATATAAAGGCACAACTTCTTCTACACTTCATTCTCATGGTAACTCCCATTCGCTACCCAGTATTTTACTGTATAAACAATATACTTTTTTTTTTCTTCTGTACATAAACATTCTCACAGAAAGACATGTGGCTAAACAGATCACAGGTGACATATTCATAACTGATAACTAAAGTAAATTAAACAATGTGTACATGACAACAATAAAACACTAAAACTCTATAAAAACTACGTTAACAATACTAAATAAGTCCCTCAAAAGGTTACGTTGTGAGAGTAAGACGATTATAGACCTTACTAACCCGTAAACAGGATAAAACAGGTTGAAGTAACAAGGCAGAAACAACTCCGTACTTCTCAAATCCTCCTGGAATCTGTTCTGAAGCCAGTTGTCACTTATTGCTGGGTTTCAGATGACGTAACGTCACCCAAATCACATAGAGGGCCACAAGTAAATTCCACCCATTTATTTCTGTTGATCCAGCATCAAAATGTCTAAAGTCTGAGGCCCCGTTTACATGACAACGATTTTGGGTGAAAACGGAAGAGTTTTGTTGCGTTTGTGGTGTACATTTACACAAAACCACCGAATGTTTTCTCTGACAACGGCACAGATTGAAAACGGGTTCCAGAGTGCGATGTTTCTGAAACGTACCAATGTCCGTTGTTGTGTAAACAGAGAAAATGGATCTTT